AGAAAGCCCAGATGGTGGATCTGGAAGACAAGCTGGCCATCCTTGAGGATGAGAACAGACTGTTGAAGGAACAAAACCGCTCGTTGAAACAAGCCTCCAGTTACTTGGCCAAAGAGAACGCTTCACTGAAGTCGCAGCTGGCCACCAAGTCATTGTTTCCCTCCAAAACAGATTCTGCAACCAAAAGGTAGGTTTCTGTTTCCTTCTAATAGTATCAGGCTTTACGATGGCACAAGGAGATCTACGAGAGTCAAGGAAACAAATTAATAGTTAGTTCCACATTTTTAAGCTCTGGGTTATAGCATAAAGTACTGGAAACATTGATTCCTTTAAAGTCGGAGTGCATCTGATTGAGAGGCAAGGAACCAACAATCTGCATACAAATAAGTCAGATCTGTAAAATAGATGTGCACACAACACTCAGGTTCTGGAACAAAAGGCTAAAGTCCATAACTTCCAGCTGGAGTTTACAGCCAGTGAACGCGAAGAAGAAGAAGAAGAAGAAGAAGAAGAAGAAGAAGAAGAAGAAGAAGAAGAAGAAGAAGAAGAAGAAGAAGAAGAAGAAGAAGAAGAAGAAGAAGAAGAAGAAGAAGAAGAAGAAGAAGAAGAAGAAGAAGAAGAAGAAGAAGAAGAAGAAGAAGAAGAAGAAGAAGAAGAAGAAGAAGAAGAAGAAGAAGAAGAAGAAGAAGAAGAAGAAGGAAACATGGAGAATGACAACTACACCTGTTGTCAAACTACATTTTCTTGAAAATAACTGTCCCCTCTTGAACTAACACCTTTGACTCAAAGATCCACATTCGGATGCGAATGCGGCAGGAGTAAATCCATGAAACCACATTCAAAGGTGTAAAACGGTTGTATGGGGAAACCTTCTGATTACAAAGGTACTGTAGTACTATATATAGAGTATTGTCTATAAGATACGTGCTAGAAATAGTCATGAACTGATGTCTGTGTAATAACACAGAAGATTAAATGGTATGATAGAATCATGTTCAGGTCATGGAGATAACTAGACGAACTCCAGCGAATCAAGAGCTGAGGAAACAAGGCTGGCGTTTAATAAGGCAAACATTGAGTAAACCTATAAAGTGTACCATGGATTTCCATAAACTGGAACCCAGAAAGCCACACACACACAAAAATAAAAATAAAATAAAGAGTAACAGTTTATATATGGAAAAGCAAAGAAGAGACTAGGGTGAATAAGACAAGAAGGACATGGGAAAGGGGATGGCGGTAGGGAATGCACGGGATGGCAACAGCTCAGACGACTTGGTGTGACATGGCTGAAGGGCTACGCTCTTCTGAAAGCTAACAGACAGAAAAAGACTATCAGTTGTTAGAGCATGGCACAATAGCTAGTGCTCTGGCCGACCAAGATTTACGTAAAGACCTTTTTTTCATGCCATCGCGCAGCGGGCTTGTGTTGCCTGGCTAATATTTGTATAGGCAAATCAGAATTCCATTGGTGACGTGGTGTTACAATTGCGCCGCTCGTCTTTCCTTGGTTGCGTACCCTTTACAGGACGTTGCAGAACCATCCCCCAGCATTAGCTGTTGTGGTTTTTCAAGGCAAATTTACGTCCAGTAGTTTGCCATTGCCTCTTGATATCACTGTCGAAACCAACGCAAGGCCCGCAGCTGAGATCGGACCGGCACCCCGGCATTACGAAGAGCGTGCGCCAAGCCTTAGCCACAGACCGTCTTTCCTTAACAAGGCATTACCCGGGCAGACAACTCTCCAACGTGGAGACCATCATTATCAAGTGCTTTGTCAAATGTTTTTTTAAATTTATCTGTGTCAGGTCTGCAGCGCCTGAGCTTCCTCTGCAGAAGGAACGGGTTCAGAATCTGCTTCGGAGGGAGATCAACTACGCCATTACAGTAACTCTAAGGTAAACGTGCCAACAATGTTGTTGTAGTTGTACTGCTGAAGCCCTGTGACGGTTGTTTCCCCTTGTATGTATGTATGTATGTATGTATGTATGTGTGTGTATGTATGTATGTATGTATGTATGTACGTACGTATGCATGTATGTATGTATGTATGTATGTATGTATGTATGTATGTATGTATGTATGTATGTATGTATGTATGTATGTATTTATGTATGTATGTTTGTATTGTGTATGTATGTATGTAAATATTATGTATGTACATTGTACCCCGCTAGGACATCACACAAGCGATGAACACCGAGTGACACAAAGTGCCACCATGCCGTTGAGGATCACCTTGAGAAGTCCCTGAAATCATGTTCAGCCGTTATGCTATATTGCAGGCCTGGCTATAATTGGGGCCCCCGGCAAAGGCTAGGTTGGGACTTGAAAATATCTAAAAGTTGCATCCCGCAAGGGGGATGGATGCAGTCTTATTTTTTCCCTTTGTACATTTGAAAATATGAATTACAGAAGACACGTCGTAGTTCTTGGACACACAAGAAGTCAAATACAGTTTTTGTAGATGTGGACATACAGTAGACTAGGTTGCATTTCATGGAAACAAAAACAATCACATACAGAGGCTCTTAAGAATGTTTAAGAGCTTTAAAAAGGGTAAAAAAGAAAACAATTCTTTCATTACCATTTATTAGAACAAAGGACAAAGCAATTCAAAGGTCGAGTTGACAACCCAAAGATGTAGATACACGCAAGAATATGTTGCCTTTCATGGGGGGGGGGGGGGGGGGGGGGGGGGGGGGGGGGGGGGGGGAGGACGAGCAAATACACTTGGGAGTCTAACTGAAAAGAGAATTATAAAAAAAAAAAAAATGATAAAAGTGCCAAATGTTGCCTATATGAAAGTCATTATTTTTGTTTCCTTAAAATCCATGCCGTGTGGCGTAGGAGATCGTGTATATCCAAAACTTCTGTCTCGTGTTCTTTTTCTTGTTCTTGTTTTTCTTGTTCTTTTTTTCTTCTTCTTCTTCTTCTTCTTCTTCTTGTTCTTCTTCTTCTTCTTCTCATTCTTCTTCTTTTTCTTTTTCTCTTCCACCTTGTACCTCTGTCTCATGTACATTCCATAAGTTCTGACGCAGATGATCTTCCATGTCATGATGTCGAACTAACCACATCTTCTTTCTCAGCCTGTGTCTCTTTTCCTCCCCTTCCTGATGATAATTACATTGATTAATGAATGTCATGATGATGATAATAAGAAAATGATGATATTGATGAAAATGATGATGATTATTATGTAGACAATGGGGATAATTATGATGTAGACAATTGTGATGATTATGATGTAGACAATTGTGATTATAATGACTTGACAATGGTGATGATTATGACGTAGACAGTAGTAATTATTATGATGTAGGCAATGACGATGGTCCTAGACAGTATGATTAAGATGGCAGTTTTGATGACAATGTCAATAATGAGGTGTAACCTCCTGTACGCTGAAAGATACACAATGTACACATACATCGTAATCAAATTGTTTTTTTTTTCAGCCTGATAATTTCCTGGGCCTGCTTCAGGAACTCGAGGAAGACTGCAAGCGGGAAGGATGCCAGACACCCCCAGCCACACATCTCTCACATACTGCCTACGGACCAGGCAGTTCTGATGACGGCTTCAGGACCAACTGTAGAAGAGCAACACCAGGAATGGTGGGGCTCACATCAGCGGAGCTGGAATCCCTCAGCGAATTAATATCTATCGACCACGTTTATGTGAAGTCTCAGGCGACCGGTCATCAGAGGAACAAGGAGACTCCCAGAAAGCTTACTACTACTAGCCAGGGAAATATTAGCGACGTTATGTCTTCACAAAGTTATAGTTTTTCAAATGCGAGAAAATCTCATCCTACAGATTTTAACTACGGGGCACGTTCATCAGATCACATAGGACAGTCTGCAGACATCAAAGTAAACAGAGACTTCGCATTTTCTTCACTATCATCCACACCATCCATGTTGCCTCAGCTGGATTCTGAAGCTGATTCTGACGACTTAATCAGCCTGCTTTCAGAGTCTGTTTTACAGACAACTTTAAACTTTACCCAAGACTTTAATTGTCCCATGTTGGACTTGAACAAAATGCAGAATTATCAGAAAGGTAGTTTTGAGGTCAAGGACATTGTCGGCCATGCCGAGGAACTCACTGACCAGGACAAAGATCCCGAGAAGCTCTTTAATGAAATCCACGAGCATTATATGTCCATGAGGTACAGCCAGTCACCGGACATTGGGGCTCTAAGTGACTCTGGAGTCAGCAGTCACTTGGACGCCGTGTCCCCACAAAGCGGCGGGGAATCGCTGCATGACATCACCTGGCATGAGACCTCATTTGCGGATTTGTTTCCTGACCTGCAGTAACCGCCTTGTGAGTTTTTTTTGGGGGGAAGAACGGTAACCTAGTTACTGTCCCCTAACAGGCGTGATGTAAAAGGCGACAAAGTAGTGGTTTCCTTCATTTTGATGTGTTTGAGGGTGGGTGGAAAGGGGGAAGGCAGAGATCGCATCCTAGCTATAAACCACAACGCCAGGAGCACCCTTCTAATGGTAAATGGAGGAGGGAAGAAGAAGAAATAATCAGCCTGTTTGTCTTTATGGATAAATGTGGCAAATAATTCATATCCTAACATCACAACTTCGAGCAGCAACTGTATTGAGTAGATAGAATTATGAAACGAACTGCCTGTGACAGATAGAACGTGTTATATAATGCCCTGAAGAAAATATTGCTCTGTTAAGCAATAAAAAATAATTTGTCATGTGTACGTTTTGTAAAAAAAAAAAAAAAAACTGTTATCTTATCTTCTTCAGACCAAATTATGTCTGGACTCATAAAAAGAATAGGACTGTCCACTAAATAGCATTCATATTTATGCTATTGTTGAAGGTCTGCTTTAAATGTGGATGACTCAACCGTCGATTGCTTCAAAAAACTAAACACAGAAATGCCTTCAGTTTGTGATTTACTTTCTTACCACACACACACACACTTACACATACACACACACACACAGACACACACATATAATCTCCATGTAGTACTCATTTTTAACACAAACATTTGTGTCTTTTTTCCCGGTCCCTTGAAATTCGCGTTAGCAAATATTTTATTCATATATGCATGTGTGTGCGCGCGCACACGCAGGGCCACTTATTATCTCAGCATTATCTCCCCTTCTGCGTTTAGAGGCCCATATTTACAACACTCGTTTGACTCAGCTGTACACAGCCTCCATGAGTAGGCAGCAGAATCGTCTCAGAAGCAGTCTGTAGTCATTATTCAGACTAAAAACACAACCACACCTCGATTGTCTTGCAGAAACACAATGAAAGCACTCCATCATCATCATCATTCTTCTGGTCCACGTTTCTTTGGCAGTCATGTGCTTACATGTGCACAAACAAGACATCAACAACAGACAATATAATCTGGTGGTTGGAAGGGGGGGGGGTCCTTTAAATGTAAGCGGTCTTGAACTATGAAGGTCATGAGTTGCATTTAAAACACGTCCTTTGGGTTGCTAGTAGCCAGAAAAACATTGGATCTTTTAACTCATGCCCCAGCTCTCCTCACATATGTTCTAGGCAGGGAGAGGTAATGCCTACAGAGCTTAATCCTATTTTAAAAGCATAATAATAATAATAATTTGCTGAAATGTTGAATTTAGAATCGAAATCATAAGGCTGGGGACTCCCATAAGCGCTTCGTCCCCATCCCCATCTTCAGCAGCAAACGAAGAGAATCTAATTCCGATAGCGTCAGTAACTGTGTGATTTTATATCCGTCTCGCCTTTATTTTGAGTGTCGAGTGTTGTGCTTGATACATTCGAATGTGCTTAATGTCAGATAAAAAAAAATAATATACTTAGATTACTATAAAACGCATAGACAAATACTTTAAAGAAAATTTCTGCATATGAATTAAGAGGCACTGCTAAGTCCCCATACCAGCTTGTTAAGTGGGGGGGGGGGGGGGGGGGGCGCTTGAATCTCCCTCCTCCTTTACGCCCTTTAAACAATTTTTGGGAGGGAGCTCAGGAGGCAGGTTCGCAAGTCTATGTTTTAAAGAGTAGCTGTTTCACAGGTGACGAACGGTGTTTCGGAGTTTCTTGCTGCCCTGCATCGATTTTTTTTTTTTTTTTAGTATTCCTCCGCCACTTATTCCGTCGATCACTGCAGTAGCAACGATGTTCTCCTTTCATATTACAGTCTAGTCCACTTAAGCGGAACTCGGATAAGTCGAATTTCGGTTAAGTCGACATGACCAGCTTAGTCCCGGCAATTTTCTCTATTGTCTGTGCTGTCTGGATAAATAGAAATCCTAATAAGTAGAAGCATTTTCTTAGGTCCCTGTGACTTCTACTTATCTAGACTCTACTGTATCAGTAAAGTTTGTCTGTCATCTTAGAAATCACAAATAAGGACCACAACCTTGTAAACCTCGCTTCAAATTATTTTGTATAAATAGATAGAAACATAGTTTGTCGTTACCATGTCTTTATTATTGGCCAGCTCAATACAACTAGAGGGAACGAAACAGGTGCTTTACTTGACTTTTTAAAATTGTCATTGTTGTTGAATTTTCATTTGCATATGTAATATAGTTTTGGAACTTCTATAATTACGCTTAGAAAACTTATATTTATTAAAATAAGAAACATTTCAAATCATATATTTTTGTCAGAAACGATTCAATTTTTACCCGCTTTAGAACAAAGGGATATACAAGGGTAGTAGTTGCCATAGAATTAGAGGTGCCATAATTATAACTTCTAGTCAGGTTGAACAGCCTAGATATTCCAGTATGCAATAGCCATGCTGTTCCAATGTGGGATGCCATTTTTCGTTATTTGAAACCCCACCCTGGCTTTTGAATTCCAGAAAAAATAGTCAACAAAATTGCTCTCTTCTACAAAGACTTTTCCTGCAGTATAAAAAATTACAATACCTCTTTCCCAGTAAAGACAGGTGTAAGACAGGGATGTGTTATGTCATCTCTCCTCTTCAACCTTGTGATTGATTGGATACTAAAGAACACAGTAGACAGGACATTGAGAGGCATACGATGGACTCCATTCACCATGCTTGAGGACCTTGATTTTGCAGATGATATAGCACTCCTATCACATAAACATGAACATATACAAGAGAAAAGTAACAGACTAAACTGCACAGCAGAAATGGTGGGACTGAAAATAAATACAAAGAAAACTAAGATCATGACAAGCATTCCAAATAAACAACTACTGATCAAAAATAACCAAACTCTTGAAAATGTAGAAAATTTCGCATATCTTGGCAGTGTGTTGTCCCTACTGGGAGGGACAGAGAAAGACATACAGTCACGTCTGAACAAAGCTACAGCTGCTTTTTGAAGGATGAGGCAAATCTGGAAATCTAACAATTTCTGTGGAGGAACGAAACTCCGACTCTACAAGAGCATCATTTTGCCAGTTCTTCTTTATGGAGCGGAATGCTATGGAATGACCAAAAAAGGATGCACACAAGCTGTCCACCTTCCACCACACATGTCTACGTAGAATTTAAAAAAATTTCTGGCCAGATACAATCTCAAACACTAAACTACTTCAAGCCACAAACCAAGAAACTTTAGACAGTATGATTACCAAGAGAAGATGGAAATGGCTTGGCCACGTTATGAGAATGACTTCTGATATACCTGCCAAAACAGTTCTCACATGGACACCAGAGGGAAAGAGAAAACAGGGGCGCCCAAAAAACAACATGGAGACGAACGATGGAAAGTGACCTGAGTGCGGCATCTTTGACATGGAAAACTGCACTGAAGATTGCACAGGACAGGAAAGCATGGAAAGTCCTCTCTGAAGCCTTATGTGCCACTAGGCATAACGAGAACTGATGATGATGATGATCCTGAAATACATTGACACACAGACAGAAGGATGGATGAATGGATTCGTTACTTGCCTAATTAGCTAAGTATGTCTGCAGGTATGTAAGTATGCCGGTAAGTAGGTAGGTGGGTAGTTGTTTGTTTGTTTTAGTATCCAGAAGCCATGAGTTGTTAACCCTTAGGCTCGGTATTTATGGATATCGCAACCTTTCGGCCTTGATTCCATTGTAATACCGTAAATCTGAGAGAAATGTGGCTTTTCTGCCTACCCCGGGAGTGAACCCGGACCACAAGGAGTTCGTCACCCGGTCACCACGCAATCCGGTTTAGCCAACTACGCTAGAGAGCCGGGCTAGGTGGGTAGTTAGATGAACTGGCTGGTAGGTAGCGAGAGGCACAGACAGACAGATCAAAGTATGAGTGCAGTGGCGAGTAAATGAACGGAACAGACAGATACATAGAAAGGAAGCACACCCAGAACCGGGTATACTTAAATAAGAAGGTATTTAGACAGATATGCCAATGATGTCTCAGCGATCGTAAACATTCACTTAGAAAGAATGCAGCATTACAAAAAACCTCTGGCGTCGCAACAACCCGCATTATAGCTCCGTCATAAGTATTTGCTGAAAACGTTGACAGACTTAGCATCCATCTGAGGCATGCAGGCTTAGTCGGGAGCGCCTTGGATTAGACCAAAACATGACAGATTAGCATGCGGATGGCGTATTTCATCGGGGCTCATCTGTTTGTCTGGGGGCAACGCGACATGAATTGTTAACAGCTGCTGTTTGCTCTAGTCGCATCATCTGCATGAGCC